AGGCAAGGTACATGCAATTAAATAATTAAATAAGAATTAAATAAACAATAATTTTAACATGAACTGTTATAATTTCGTTTTCTGTTTAATAAAAATCATTTAGTGACGGCTTTGCCACGAAAGCGGTCGTTGTTTACTAACACAGATAACGATGTTATTTTGATGATCTCTGCTTTAAACAATGCAAAATTTGCTTAAAAAATAATTATACGGCATAAATTGTTGTTTTATTAACAATCATTATGATGCCTTAAACAACGAATTTATTCAAGAATTCATTTTACGTATTATCGGCAGTATATCACGACGATCGACCCAGCATGTTTTTTTCGATATCAGACGTGCAGATTTACATGCATCCACATGTACTTGACTTTATTTCATAACTATACATTTTGTTTTAGCGAAATTGTACATAAAAAATTACTTGAAGTATTTTAAAATTTAGAAATATGTTTTTTATATGTACATGTACATGTAATGATGAGAATAGAAACGCTAAATGGTATTTCTAAGAACAGTAACTCTACTTCTGGTTTCCTAAACGATGGGAAATTCAATTCATTGCCAAATTCGTTATACCGCCATTATTTCTAAATTACAAAAGGTGGCGGTTTATCGAGAATTAACTGTACTATAAAAGCACAAATATTCATGGGGTATTAAATTTCATTTATTTCGTTGTTAACAATTATCAATGAAATTAAAATCCCACATGAAATTTTATATGACTATATATTGAATAGGGTTACTTTCAAAACAACGAAATTAAATGCCAACAAAACTATTTTTGATGAAAAATCAACAAAATTTTATCCCAACGAAAATTTGTGCTTCTACAGTATTCCAAATTCACATTTTTTACAGATGACATAATTTTTATGGGTCTCCTCATATAATGAAAATAACAAAATTTACCCCCCTCCTTCAAGAAGATGTTTAATTTCGCAGTACTTTTTTTACTGTCTCTACTTACCGACTCCACCAGTGGGATGATCTTGGCCCTCTGCATATGTTTGAGGAGAGCTATCATGGTGGCCATACACTCGTGTTGATTGAGGTCATCCATCTCCAGCTCCACATAGTCCTCTTCTACCATCACCTTAGTGTCCTGTCAATGGATACCCGCATTTTAATGAAAAATTCAAAAATGCACAAATTCCTATGCTAATTTTAAAAGCATGTTCTGAAAAGTGTACAGTTTGTACAGTACTGAGCTACAAGAACTGCTTACAGAATCATCCTCTTCATCAGTGTAGCTAGATTTACGAACAGTCAGCACTTTTTCCTTCTGTGATCCTTCTGACATCTAAAAATAAATAGAAGTTGTGACTGACAATAGGTGGGTGTGGCTGTGAAGTCACATTAATTGAGATTACATGGGGAATGGCTGTGATTGACATTACCTGGGGAATGGCTGTGATTCTCATTACCTGGGGAGCGGCTTTGATTGATTGGCATTACCGGGGGAGTGGCTGTGATTGACATTACCTGGGGTGTGGCTTTGATTCTCATTACCGGGGGAGTGGCTTTGATTGATTGACATTACTGGGGGAGTGGCTGTGATTGATATTACCTGTGGAGTGGCTGTGATTCTCATTACCGGGGGTGTGGCTTTGATTGATTGATATTATCTGGGGTGTGGCTGTGATTCTCATTACCTGGGGAGTGGTTTTGATTGATTGATATTACCTGGGGTGTGGCTTTGATTGATTGATATTACCTGTGGAGTGGCTGTGATTCTCATTACCTGGGGAGTGGTTTTGACTGATTGATATTATCTGGGGTGTGGCTTTGATTGATTGATATTACCTGGGGTGTGGCTTTGATTGATTGACATTACCTGGGGTGTGGCTTTGATTGATTGATATTACCTGGGGAGTGGCTGTGATTGATTGATATTACCTGTGGAGTGACTGTGATTGACATTACCTGGGGAGTGGCTGTGATTGACAGTACCTGGGGTGTGGCTTTGATTGATTGATATTACCTGGGGAGTGGCTGTGATTGAATAATATTACCTTTGGAGTGGCTGTGATTGACATTACCTGGGAAGTGGCTGTGATTGACACTACCTCGGATGTGGCTTTGACTGATTGATATTACCTAGGGTGTGGCTTTGATTGATTGATATTACCTGGGGTGTGGCTGTGATTGCCATTACCTGGGGAGTGGCTTTGATTGACATTACCTAGGGTGTGGCTTCAATTGATTGATATTACCTGGGATGTGGCTTTGATTGGTTGATATTACCTGGGGTGCAGCTTTGATTGGTTGATATTACCTTGGGTGTGGCTTTGATTGATTGATATTACCTGGGGTGTGGCTTTGATTGATGGATATTACCTGGGGTGTGGCTTTAATTGATTGATATTATCTGGGGTGTGGCTTTGATTGATTGATATTACCTGGGGTGTGGCTTTGATTGATTGATATTACCTGGGGCGTGGCTTTGATTGATTGACATTACCTGGGGTGTAGCTGTGAAGTCATACTGGTTGAGGTCTTCACTCAGACTGCTGTCTGCCAGGTACTGAGAGGCCAAATGAAGGGAGGAGCTGGTCCCTCCCTCTGCCTCCCCATTCTGTAGTTCACTATCCTTCACTTCATTCCTTATGGATACATACTGCTTCTTTCTAGACAAAGGTGCCTTGAAAGAAAAATATCAAAACCATATCTTAGATATTGTTATTTACATCCATCTTTTCCAAAACTTTACAATTTTCAGTCTTGCAAAATGTCCAAGATTATGCACGGAAAAATATTAGAAATGCACATATTTGGAAGATATCTCTTCCTACCTTCAGTTCTGATGTAAATTCATAGGATTTTTCCTTGTCAACCAAGTTGTCATAAACAAACTGTCCCTACAATACAATTAAAACTAATATCAATGTAATAAAAAACTCTCATTAAGTAGTCAATTTAGAGGTATTGCATTATGACATACCTTGGCCTCGTCCTCCTTGAAGAGGAATGCGGTGTAGAACTTGGCTTCATTCTGTGTACTGGAGAGTATGGCTATCAGCAGATTATAGGCAGCACAGTGGTACTGTCTCCTCAGTTCTGTACAGCTAGTCTCCCCCCTCACATCCTCACCCTTAGCTGCATGTGCTGTCCTACAGTACAGACATAAAGTACATAAAATTGAAATTCTGGTTCTCAGACCCGCGTGCATTCATTTTGAGGTAGCCGCATTGCTAATTTTACTGTATTTTTGATCAAATAAAAAGTTGGTATTGTGGAGACCAATCCAGAAAAAAAAAAGTTCCATCCTTATTATGTTCCCCAAACGAAGTTGGGGAACATATTGTTTTTACTCTGTTTCTTATTATTATTATTATTATTAAGGTCTTCCGTCTTCACGGAAGACCTTATAGTTATTCTACTGTTTCTTATTATTATTATTATTATTCTTATTTTTTTTCCCAAAATTTTGTGCACGCGATTTCTCAGCAACTGTTCGGCCGATTTCTATGAAATTTTCAGGAATTATGCGCAATAAGATGAACTTGATACATTTTTAAGGAAATTTGGAAATTCGCTTCTGGTGCTAAGTTATGGGCAATTTCCTGATTTTAAAATGCAATTTTGTCGCCCCTTTTTATCGTAAATGGCTCAAGATATGACCTGGAGACTTATTGGAGACGATAGTTCGTGACTTTGTGGTTTGCAGAATCACCTTTTTGTGCGTCGTCAGTTCTTCCGGTCGTTACGGCATGCGAATTTAAAAAAATTGTATTTTCTAACTTTTTTGTTTTTCAATATTTCTCATTTATTTTTGGTATATCAATAGAAACCCTCCCTATAATGCTTACTATATAATTTGTTTGAATGTTGATAAATCTAAACTCTAGATATTAGCATTCAAAAATCTGAAGCGGGTCCAAAATGGCGGCTGTCTCAGTCAACGTCGACATTTCGCAATAGGGGTTTTCGGAGGCAGCCGAGCGTTTGCTTGAATGAAAGTAACAAAAGGATAAATGAAATGTAAAGGAATACTTGGATTGTCACGTCGTAGTTACGTTGCAGTTCTGTGTCAAGCTAACGTCTTCTATAATTGGTTTTGGCTGGTTTTCAAAATAAAAAAAGAAAAGACTAAATGCGCAGATGAAATTCGATACATAATATCTTTTGTGCACCACGGAAAAACAGATCTTAAATCGTACTTATAAGTTATACTGTCTCAAAAAAGAATATCAATGAATATTGTAAGTATAAATCTTAACCACTGTTTTCCTATGCACACTTGTGTCATATTAAACTAATGAATAAGACAAAAATAAGAAAACGTTTTTTTTTAAAGATCGCTTCATGGAGTTTATTCAAGCATTCTTGTCTCAAAGACCTGATTCAAGTTATTGAGCATAAATGCTATCTGATTCCTTGACCGTCGTAGGGCGAGCCAGATTTTCCGGCGAAACGTTTCAACCTATTTTGATTAACTAATCAGGATAGTTCACTTTGGGGGATAAACAGGAAATTGAAAAAAGTTCATAACCGTTTCACCGCTTTAATGTCACATGCATATATAAAACAATATGGAATTTGTAAAATGTGTTAAATATACTTTCTAAACCTCGAATGTTACGCTATAAGAACGTTCTTTTTTTAACTCGTGGCGTTTGGCGCTATATTTTGAATAGTGACCCGCCTTTCTTTTTAAGAGAGAAGCACTGTTTTGTTGATATATACAAGTAGATTTAGAGTAGAGGTCCCGATAGCGTAATATTTAGTGTGTTGGAATTTCATGCTGGCGACTAATGTGTTCAATCCCTCTTGTGGGCAAATCTTTTTTTTTACTTTTTTAGCTCGATTTTGAGTTTTCTTTCAAGAAAGGGACGGAAGACCTCTCGTTGCTCGCAACGAGTTTCACATCTAGTTATTATTATTTTTCTTCTTCTTCTTCCTGGGTACTTTTTTGTCCGGGAATGATCTTGTAAACTGTTCGTCCGAGGTAGGTAAAACCTTTTTAGGGTAAGTAGACATGTTATGCAGATTTGCGGAATCAAGGTCATTTTGCGCGCACGTGCTTGCAAGAGCGCGCACGTGCAACACTTGAAATAACCAATATAATAGATATAGTCGGAACTTTTCTATTTTTTGATAAAATGCTTTGAAACTCATAATATAAGGATACATTAGTAGTATAGACAAGATGGCATGGTCAAAATAGCAAGATCTCACGCGCATGCACGTGCACTTCACTCTGATTGGCTGAAACTAAAGTCTCAATATCTTTCTTGTTTCTTGTCATAATCTTTTGAAATTTTGAACATGGTCCTACATTATGAAGATCTACAGCATGATATATTAAAATTTTAATAAAAGCATGCGCATGCGCGCGTGCTGTAATCTGATTGGCTAAAACTTTAAATAGCTATATCTCCTTTGTTTTTTGACGAAATGCTTTGAAATTTAAAACATAGTCATGCATTACAATATCCTAAAATATGATAAAGAAAAAATTCATGAAATCACGCGCATGCACGTGTGCTGCAATTTGATTGGCTGAAACTTCAAATGGCTATAACTCTCTTGTTTTTCAACCAAACAGGATGGGATTTAGAACTTGGATAAATATAAGGGACTCCTACAAGAAGGTGTAGTCATTATGCACGTGCTTGCACATGCGTGCACGTGAAATGAGTAAAATAAATAATACACTCGAATGAGTGCATTTTTTAATACTTTTGGATTAAATGCTTTGATATTATTAAAATTTTAGATAGTGTAGACAAGATGATAATTATGGTCGTTACGCACATGAACACGCGTGCAATGCCTATTTTTTTTTTTTAATATATTTTGTATTTTTCTTGGAAGACCTGGATTAAGTCTAAATTCCATAAAGTATTTCTTATTTAATAGAGATAACAGGGAATATGGCACCAAAAGGGAGTTTGGGAGCGTTTGGGGAACATCTGTAACGGTCCCCGTTACAATTAGCACTAGTTATTATTATTCTTTTTTCTTCTTATTTCTTCTCCGGTACTTTTTTGTCCGCGAGTGTTCTCAGAAACTGTTCACCCAACTGAGCTAAAACCTTTTTAGGGTTAATAGGTGTGTTGTGTAGGTGTGCGGAACGAAGGTCATTTTGCGCGCATACGCCTGCACGTGCGGGCACGTGAAATGACTGAAATGACTAATATATTTAATATAGCCATAACTTTAACATTTTCCGATGAAATGCTTTGAAACTCATTATATAAGGATATATTAATAGTGTAGATAATGTGACACTGTCAAATTAGCAAGAACTCACGCGCATTTACGTGCGCTTCGCTCTGATTGGCTGAAACAAAAATCTCAATATCTTTTCCGTTTTTTGACGAAATGGTATGAAATTTAAAATATAAGCATACTTTAAGATGTCCTACAACATGATGTATAACATTTGTCATGAAAGCATGCGCATGCACGTGCGCTGCAATCTGATTGGCTTAAACTTCAAATGGCTGTAACTCCCTTGTTTTTCAACCAACCACGATAAGATTTAGAACATAGACAGACACAATAGACTCCTATAAGAAGTTACGGTCATCATGCACATGCATGCACGCGCATGCACGTGCGCTTTGCTCTGATTAGCTGAAACAAAAATCTCAATATCTTACTTGTTTTTTGACAAAATACTTTGAATTTTAAAACATAATCATACCTTAATACGTCCTAAACTATGATATATAAAAGTTTTCAAGAAACCACGCCCATGCACGTGTGCTGCGATCTGATTGGCTTAAACTTTAAATTCCTATAACTTTTTTGATTCTCAACAAAACAGGATGAAATTTAGAATATGAATAGATATGACGGATTCTTACATTATGCTACTATCAAACTTGAATGCAAGGACTTGCATGCACCTGTGCGCGCGCAATGCATTAAATGCCCGATTTACTTGATATAGTCGTAATTTTTTTTATGAAACGTTTCAAAATTCAAAGAATAGAAACACATTAAAAGTGTAGTCACGATGATATAGCTTTCATGCATTGCACCTTCGCGCGCGTGCAATGATCAAATGACTTGTATACTTGATATGGCCGTTACTTTTATATTTCTTTATGAAATGCTTTGATGACCTTGACCTTTGACCTTGACCTTTGACCCCTTGACCCAAAGGTCACAATCCAGCTCAAGTTCGTAGATGTATTTACAAACTCACTTTAACAAATGCTTAGAATAAAAAAGTCAACCCCCCCCCTTCTCCTTAAAAAAAAAAAATCAATAACAACGTAGAAAATTTCTCTGAAACTCGATCAACACCTGGGATCGACATAAAATTTCACTTAAGGTGCAGAAAAGACTTCATAGAAAGTTTCCTGAAAGTTTTAAGGTAAGTCTCTAAAGTATATAGAAATTATGAATTTTTACGGCAAAAATTACAAATTCTGTCGTGTTTGAAATTTAAGTGCAGACGAACAAAGATATGATATAAACCTTTTAAAGCCTATTTCTCCAGATGTCGTTAATAGCATTCAATTCTACTGATATGAATTAATATTTTAATACCAAGCATTCTTCTTTTATTTCACCATTGAAATTTATCTGAATTTTTTTTAGAATTACACAATCCCCAGAAATAGCGAGTTTCGGTATATTAAAAAGCAATACACGTTTCTTTCCAGTAAAACCTCACGTGTTTGAATTCATGAAAAAATATTGATAAGGGGGTGTTAAACAATACCTGTCACATTAGCTGACACCAAAAAACCAGGGCACGTACACGACATTTTCTGATTTATTTGCATATGCAAACAGGGCTACCCTCAAATCCACGTGTTTTCCATGTCTTTATAAACATCACAAAAGCACCCCAGGAAGTAGCCTCCTATGCCCTGGAGAAATAGTTCCTGTCAAAAAACTTTATTTATTTATAGAGTAGATAAAATTTCCTAGGCACAGGTACCAGAGTTGTCAAACTGGCCTGGAAGGAAATTAAAAAAACTCTCAAAAGAAAGGAAAATCGGCTTAATGTATGGACCTACAATTGACTAAGTTCATTTTGATTGGTCAATTACCGGTGTGGTACCCCTAGTCGCCTTGAACCCAGTCCTGTCTTTCTGAAGAAAACCAACTCCGAGCCCGATGTAAAAATCTTAGTAGAGAAATGAGA